AGTTGTATGTCGATAGTTTCAAGTTTGATCATTTGCAAGCCTTACGTAAACGTCCGATAATTTTTTATTGGACGTCAGAAAATATTAGGTTTCTTGAGGATATTTTAAAAGAGGATGGAGGATTTGGTTGTGGAGAGATTAATGAACTATATGTAGAAGAAGAATGTCAAGAATCTGAGTATGATGAGGAGGAATCTGATGGCTATGAGGAGGAATCTGATGGCGGTGAGGAATTATTTGATGAGGATGAAGAAGAATTTGATGTTTATAAAGTTAGTTCTATGGAGGTAATTTTCTAGTGTATTCATTTATGATTTCATTAGTGTATTCAGATATGATTTTTATGATTAGGTACTCATTTTAAAGTATTTTTTTCTTATTCGAGAATATTAAACTAAAATTTCGGATATGTATCAGAAATTTGAAAATTTGAGAAAGGAGCTTGTTTTAAAAATAGATGACGGAGTGTTAAATTTTCCTGAAAGTCAAATTTTGAAACATTGGAAATTATTGTTGTCAGCTGAAGATTAAGTGTAGAAAATTTCAGTTTTGGTTATGATTCATGAGATTCTAAACAACCAATGCTGACACCTGCCTTTGGTCAATATAATAATGAAGATGAAGGCACATAATTAAATGATTATGAAAATGATGGCGAAGATTATGGAAATGATTTTCTAAATGATGATGAAGTTGATGATCAAGGCAAAGGTGGTGGTGCTGAAGGGGATGTCAATGATAATGCATTCGAGGACCATCTTGATAAAAATTATGATCATGGTAAAGTTGATGGTGTTGAAGGTGATGTTGATGATCATGCACATAAGGACCAGATTGTTAAAAATAATGATGTTTTGAATGAGAAAGATGATGATAAAAATGATGATTTTGCGATGGGAAATTTTGGTAATGAAGATGAAGAACAAGGAAATCGAAGTGAATTCAATAAAGAAGAGGTCTCGAATTTGAATTCAGTTGTCGAAAATGTTTCTAAGAGTGTTGGTCTAGTTGATAGCCAGGAAGGTGTAACTTTTAGTCAATTCACGTGTGACCAAATTGTTGAAAATTTTCTTATTGATTTGAATCGAGCTAATGTGTTTTTGTTATATAGTTTAATCATATATGACTTTAATTTTGTATTTTTGAATATTATATGTACTGAGCACTTGGTTGAGGGTGGTATAAATGAGAAAGCAGTTGAAGATGATATTAATGACGTTTTGACTGGTTTTAAGAACAATGAATTTGATGAAGGTAATTATTTGTGTATGTATTGTTTGTACATAAAATATATATGAATATGTTACATAGATTATTCACTTTCGATTTTAATAATTTAGGGACTGTAAATTTGGGTGAGGATGATAAAATCAAAGAAGGAATTTCAGATGATATTGTTGATAAAGTTATTGGACATAAAAAATAAAGAAGATGAATTAATTGTTGCAAGTTTGTTTAAAGGTTGTGCTGAAGGTGAAGTTGAAAATGCTAAAGCAAAGAAGGATGGACAAGGTGTGGTAGAAAGTGAAGGTGGTGAAGTTGGCACTGATTTGGCAAAAGGGGTAGAAGAGGATCCAAATAAAAATAAAGATGGAGGTAACTAGTTTATAAATATTTTCTATTCATATATGATTGTGTTTAACAAGATTTTTTTATGTTTGAATAGTTTTGTTTTACATTCATTTATGATTTTAAATAGTAGGTGTAGATGATCTCGCAAGTAGTATGAGTGTATATCCGTTCGCAATTGTTGGTCAAAGAAAATGTCAAATCAGAACTAATGGATATTGTGACGGCTGTTGACGTGAAGTTGTGAAGGTATCATTGGAACGAATGTCTCGCAGTTGGAATAAAGTTGGAACCAATGATTTGTGATCAAAACTCAATTTTAGGTCATGTAAATGAAATTGACAATCTCTCATTTTGTATGTTTGACTCACAATCGATACGATCGCTTCAAAAATTGAGTATCAAAATGAGAAGTTGATAGCGAAGGCTTTGATATCGATGACTTGAATTACAAATGGTTGATAACGAATTGTTGGATATCGATTTTGGATGTCGAAGGGTATCGATTTTGGACGTCGAAGGGTATCGATTTTGGATAGCGAATGGTTGAAGGGTGCTTCACTATCATTGACTGATGTTGTGTTCCTTTTGCAACTGAACAGATTTGGGGAAGAGGCAAACACAATTTTACACATTTAGTCCTCAAACGTTTAGCAAAATGACAATTTTACCCAAAAACTAAAATCTTTGCAACTTTTGAAGATTTTTTCTTGGGATTTCAAAGATTGTTATTTTTGAAGCTTCACATTTTTTTTCATATATCAAGGGGGAGTATTCCATTGACAAATCCACTTTGAGCGCTTTCTCATTCCCATTTTAAGGTTTTATAATTATATTTTGATTATAAAAAGGGGGATAGATTTCGATATGGGTATTCGAAGTTTTTGGATATTCATTTTCTTAGCGAATGAACTTTTATAATTGAAGACTGATGTGAATTTGAGAGGGAGTTGTTATTGATTATGAAGTCATTCAGATTTGATTTTCTGAAGTGGGTTTTTATGAAGGGTTTGCACTTAAGTCATTCATATTTGATTTTCCGAAGTGGGTTTTTATGAAAAGTTTGGACTTAATGAATATTCTTTGGATGTGCATTATACTCAATCATGGGTAATTTTCCTTAGATTTTTGGATGCTCAAGGAGTTAAATTTCCTCTTGTAGCTTTGGATTGTAATGTCTCACATTCTAGAACCCGGATTAGAAGACTATTGAAGATTTGATGATCCCTTCTACATTCTTATCACGATTGAGGTCTTAGTTCGTGAAGTTGCTCTTTTGGAACTAGAAGTCGGGTCAACCATTCCAAGCTTTGAGGGGGAGAATGTTGGGGTGCAAAACTCTCCATGGGATGTTGACTTAGAAGGCTTTTCCTTATTCGATGAAGAAGGTTTCTCATGTAGAAGGCTATTAGTTTAGTATTCTTTGTAGGTTGAGAGAGAGCTCCCATTATGTATAGATTAGTAGTTTGGTTACAGTGATATATATATATATATATATATATATATATATATAT